GGGGGGGGGGCAGCCCTCCCTTCAGCAGAATCTGCTTCATCAGCAAGCTGATGAGAAGCAGGCCTGCTTCATTAGGATAATTAGTGGATGCTGATTGGGATCCCTCACTCGGTGATTAAGTAATTGATACATAGCACGGCACTGGGGGCAGCAGGTCCTCTGAAAGCAAGGCTGCTGCTACACCACCACCACCACGGTCTGGGGTGGCTTTAGTGCCCCGAGCCCCCAGGTCTGGCTGTTCGGCGCTGCCATGTGGCTGCTCCCTCCTCCTCAGGTAAGTGACTCAGTCTTATCACCTTAAATGTCTAATGCTTTATGTTTTGCTTCTCTTGAAAGCAGTTAAGCAATTGAGGGATTATCTCTTCTTGACAAGTCCCTGGTGTGCAGTGTGTGGGCTGGGGGTGGGTTGGCGAGGTCAGCCCCGGGGAGGGGAGCTGGGGCTGCTCCAGCCCTCGGCTTTGCCCCATCGGCGTTGCTGCTCAGGATCAGGGACAGCGTACAGAGGAGGAGGCTGTGTCTGGTCCTCAGCCTCAGTGGCAGCTGAGGTGTCTTAAAAAGATGGTCGGGGCACTTGGCAGTACCTGCGGTACCATGGCTGTGCTCGGCGGCTGTTTTGCCGTGGAGTCGCTCCGCTCAGAGCTGCAGGAGCCCCTGCCAGGCGTCCCCAGCCTGAGCCAGGCAGATGCTCCTGGGGATTACCCCACGTGCCTCCTTTAATGGACTTAATCTTGCTGTTTGCTTCATGCTCTGTTTTGCCCTGTAAGCCTGGGAGAGGATTTGGGGGCTGCGGCTGCCCCCACAGTAGGTCTGACAGGGAGGTGGGGGTCCTGTGCTGGGCAGTTTGTGCTGGCAGTGGGTTTCTAAAATGGCAAAGATGAGTTGTTGTTTGGCCTGAACATCCCCTTTGCTTTCCCCAAAGCTCAGGGGTAGCACCCCCAAAGCACATTGAGTCCTGGCTCTTGGTCCAGGCTCCCAGAGGATAAATGTTTTTTTTGGGCGTCCCGCAACCGCTCCACGTGCTGAGGATCCCCCGGAGCAAATCCTGGGCTGTGCCGTGAGTCTGGCGTCTCTCCCGTAGCCCAGACCCAGCGGAAGGTCTGTTGGGGCAGGAGCAGGCTGTTTGTTAAAGGGCTGGCTCTCGCTTGCTGCGCCTGCT